TTGATGTCAATATGATTTAAAATGTTGGCTCAACGTTGGATTTTGGTCAGTTTCTAACATAACCTAAAATCAACCAAACATCAACGTCATTTGACTTTGTTATTGAACTTCAAAATAACATTGCCCTTAGACGCTGGGTAGACTTTAAATATAGGTCACCTGACATCACAACCTAAATCTATTCTAATATTAACATCTCATGATGTTGTGAGCCTGCTGGGCAATCACTATATGCATTACAGAATGTTACATTTACACACATCCACAAATTACATGTATGCGTCAGCTTTTTACAGTGTAATACCCACTACTCGCTACTTTTGAGTACTTTAAAAAGGTCTACTTTGAGTAATATTCACAACAGATACTTTTAGTCTACTTGCACTACATTTTTAAGCAAGTAATGGTACTTTTACTTTAGTATGATTTTTCAGTACTCTTTCCACCCTTGACCTTCATATAAAGCAATGTTTACATATGTAAATGTCCACTCCGCAACCCACTTTAATATTTAACATCAAAATTGCACTGCATTGTTTTAGGTGCCAAATACACTTCTTAAAGCATTCCTCAACAATTGTTAGCTAAATTGTAATATAGGTAATTGAGAAATTAGTAGTTTTGGTAGCACTTTATAATAATAGTACATCAATAATGATGCACTGTAAAATAATCCGTTATTTAAATTATACAATTGTATAATTTGTATAATTATATCATGACTTTACTTGGAGGGGCACGTCGTCATTAACTTGTTCTTAACTACTCATGAACTCCTTATGCACGTCCGTCTAGTAGTGCGTTTACTCTGAATAACAATAGAAAAGTGTTCTGTCGACAACAACATGAACAGATTAAACACAGGAGTTTATGAGCAGTTAAAGATGAGTTGATGATGTGCCCCTTCAAGTAAAGTCATACATTAACAGCTCATGAGTTAATTCATTCATTTTCTTTTCGGCTTAGTCCCTTTATTAATCTAGGGTCACCACAGCAGAATGAACCGTCAACTTATCTAGCATATGTTTTACGTCCTTCCAGCTGCAACCCATCTCTGGGAAACATCCATACACACTCATTCACACTCATACACTAAGGACAATTTAGCCTAACCAATTCACCTGTACCGCATGTCTTTGGACTGGTGGGGACAACGGAGCACCCAGAGGGTGCCCCACGCAAACGCAGGGAGAACATGCAAACTCCACACAGAGATGCCAACTGACCCAGCCGAGGCTCGAACCAGCAACCTTCTTGCTGTGAGGTGACAGTACTACCTCGCCCTCTCATGAGTTTATGTTGGTTGCATTTAATTTAAACCTAAATGTTAATTCATTCCTTCATTTCCTTTTCGGCTTAGTCTCTTTATCAGTCCAGGGCCGCCACAGCGGAATGAACCGCCAACTTATCCAGCATACGCAGCGAATACCCTTTCAGCTGCAACCCATCACTGGGAAACACCCATACACACTCATTCACACACATACACTACGGACAATTTAGCTTACCCAGTTCACCTATACATGTTTTTGTGTTTGTGGGTGAAACTGGAGCACCCGGAGGAAACCCACGCAAACACAAGGAGAACAAGCTCCACACAGAAACACCAACTAACCCAACCGAGGCTCGAACCAGTGACCTTCTTGCTGTGAGGCAAACATGCTACCCACTGTGCTACCGTGTAGCCCCCTAAATGCTAATTAATACATTAATTAAAAGCATGTACAAACAAGTAATTAAGGTAGCTTTATATACACATGAACTCTTATGAATCATGTTGTAGTGCCATAATTCATCATTAATTCATAATAAAGTAATGTTTGGTTTACATATTAATACATAATTATTTATGTACTGTTATTGTAAAGTGTTACCATAGTTTGCAACTAGTTACTTTTGGCAGTATCCTGCAGTTTAGCAGAGTAGTTTTAAGAGTTTTTTAGTTAGCTTGACAGCTTAGCTTGTAGCTTATCAAGCAACAGTTTGAGAGTAGCTTCCCCAACATTGCAAAACATAAGCAGTCACCTTTGCGCTAACAGTATATTTGAGTTTACACTCTTTTTATCAGCCCATCTTATTTCACAACACACCACCCTTTGCCAGTCTGCATCTAAGCTACAGTCATTCTTTGAGCGTTTGAGACTGCTGTTCAGTGCGGACAGGTTGAAAAGATGATGAGGGGCTTTTGGATTTACTGTTTACCTCAGCACTGTCCTGACATGGCCATGACCGGCTTGTTGGATATGGACAGCACACTGCTTTACAAGACTTACATTGAGCTAGCATGCCTGTCGGAACACTTTTTCAGCTGATGAAAACATCTGACCTCATGGTGTGACAGTCATACTCTGACATTACCTGCACTCTGTACACTAAGACAGTATTTCTGTGGTAAAACCTTGAAAAGTGCCTGACTGTGCACTGACTGCAATGGCAGATGTCTTCTGTGGCATCATCTTGACTGAAATTGAAGATAATTATCAGGCTCAGGCTGAATGTGCTGACGTTTTTCTTACCAATTTCTGGTAATTTGGTGAGCTGAGAGTAACTTTTATTGCTGGTTGTGAAAGAGCCAAAGTTAAGGAAAGTTATTTCACAGGGGCAGCCATATTGTTTCAAGCATCTGAGATCAACTGGGAAGTTTTCCGAACATTTAAAGGATAAATCAACATAAACAAATGTCATATGAAACGTGTACATTTAGGGTTGATCCAATAAATGTGTATACTACAATATATGCTAACAGGCTTGCTAATATGCTAAAGACATTATAGGCCCTTTTCCAACCTACCATTATTATGCAATTAATACAGGAATCTGATATATTTAACATATTAAAAAATCTGTCATATATGCAACATATATTTCATAATTTATTAATTAAATATTTTTTTTCAACAATTGGAATTCCAAATATGCAAATATATTAGCTATCATTTGATTTTTATGTTCATATATGACCTTTTTTCAGATTAATCTGTGGACCTATTCACATGTGGCCGGCTAATATGCTTTACCGTTTCTACCTGGTATTAACATGCACTCCTAGTTATAGTCCCTTTCAGCCAAGTCATTTCACTCAGCGGCCATCTTTGAAATGCCTCTCGGGCAATATGCTTGGGCATTCTGTCTGAATGGGGAAACATCAAATTCTCCAAAATTGTTTGCCAAGCTCCTGATTTCATTACATATTTGGAACCACCATTAAAATGAAACAACTTTCTCATAATTTTCATTTCTAAACGTTCGAATCAAACAAAGTCTGCATATTTTCAGGTTGCCCAGGTTAATGCACACTCAAAAAAAAAAAAAGAAACGAGATCACGACACCAACCTCATTTATGCCTGTTCTACATATGATCATCCTCTGTATAATGCTTCATCACATTGCACTGTTTTGGTTTATTTAAAAGTACAGATTTTAAGCTTTATCTGGAAATTTTTCTGGATAAGTATTCAGTGCGATTCCAGTGCATTTGTTGACCACCAACCTGTTGTAAAAGCACATGTCTGGACTAAGCCTTTTCCCGGAGAATCCTCAGTCTATCAATGACTGGCTTCTGTACTAGAAGGCAGCACTTCGTTCGCCATATTGACCGTTGAACTTTTCCCTATTTAAAACTACTTGAGTGACATGTCTTGTGTATTGTATAGTCTTTGCTTATGGCATCCCAAGTGACCACTTGGGATAATATTTACCTCTTATTCCTTCACATTATACACTTTTACAGAAGTACTCAATGTGTTAGAAGAGTAACATTAAATAAACAAACGTTGCTTTTGAGGGAGGATTGTGACTATTGTGAATGTAATCTCTGTGTTCTGCTACAAGATGGCAAAAAGAGCTTAAGTGAAACTGAGTTGAGCTATTATGTAAGGCAATTCCTCCAGGTTCAACTCTGGGAAGAGCTGAAAATGGATACATAAAATCAGACAGATGAAAGATTCTGTGATTATAAGGTCACATATAAAGGAGTTGTTCTTGTTCCTAAGAAATTAATTTGTGAGAATCAGCTGACCTGATTTTTCTGAATGAACACAAAAACTGATCACGGAGTTAGTGAATCCTGCCACTGCAAGATGAAGGGTTTTCTCATGCTCTCAAGGCACTATGCCAATATGGAATGTCTTCCCTCATAGAGTAGTTGTACAAGTGAACCTTTTGGTAAATATATGGACTTGGTAAAGTTGTGCAAGGTGAATTCATATTGCAAGCATGCCACCTAGCTTTTTTTTTAGTTTTATAGATGTCTAAACGTAGGCGGATGGGCTAAAGCAAGGCAAAATTTGGGCTGTAAATCAACATTCAATCGATGTTTAAGATATCAAAAAATGAAACTAGTCCTCAAATAAGCAGATTAGACAACCTTTACATGTGTAGTCAGTCATTTCTGTATATATAATTACAAGTCATCAGCGATCCAGCCTGTGCAGATCGCTGGTAAAAAACACAGATTGCTAAATAATTACAAATCCGCTGTTACATGGACTACAAGTCCAGTCATGCACCACACACACACACCTGTTCTGGATCACGATTGATTACACAGCTGCGAGCTGCTCAAAGACTGATCACAGGGACTATTTAAACAGCACATACACACGCATCAGGGCTGAGTCTTGTTATACTGGTTGTGAACGTTATGATGTAGTGTCCTTGCCTTGCCTTCCGTTATTGAACCTTGCTTGTTTTGTTTGTTTTATGTTGTCTGCTGTCTGCTTTCTGATCACTCGCCTGATTTTTGATTACGACTCTAGATTGCCTGTATACATCTGTTTACCCCTGTGTTAAACATTGCTTGCCTGACCGTTCTTGTTAATAAACTCAAAACATTTGGATCCACACTCTTTTGTCAGACTTCCGTTCAAATTGCACTAGTCTTGTTTTGAGTGATTCTAAGATTTCTATCAATTTTTCACTGACAGCCCAAGTTTATATGATTTTTAATGAGTACTGACTTTTACACTTTAAGTAACTCTTTCTCTCTCCTCTTCTCCAGGTCGTCTTCTCTGCAGGCTCGTGTTCAGGAGTTTATCAGCAGTGGGGGCAAAAGGACAGAACACTCCTCTGAGACTCTCTGCCTGCCGGACCTAAAACAGCAGCCTGTCACCTTTCTAACCACCACAAACACGCATACAGACCGAGAGGAGAGCAAGGAAAGAGATATGGAGGGACATGTGGAGGTAGTGAGGGACAGAGAAAAAGACAGCCAGAAAGAAAAGGAATGGATGCTGTTAAGGGAAAGAGAGAAAGATAATGAAAATGGAGCTGAAATAAATGGGAATAGGGGTTCATCTTCTCCTGTGCCTTTCCCCCCTGACATGCTTGCTCCTGATGGACATTTAAGAACCGTTCACACGTTGCCAAATTTTGCCCAGGCCCTGGTCGAAGCAAGAAAAGCAAGATACATCAGACACAGAGGACAGCCACTGTGTGAGAGAGAACTCACCATACGAGAGATATTTGCCCAGGATTCAAGACGCACTCCAGCTGTTTGAGAGACTAAAATAGCAGCTCTCAACTGAATTTGCTTCAAGACTTATTTGAATCAGACACAAGTTCTAAAACACAATGCAGCAAGTTACTGCACTTGCTAAAGTATCTAGTGCCAAAAATTATGTTAAGTTGCTGGCTGTATTTAAATTAGCTTTTTGGGGCATTCACTATTACGAGATGACAACCCATCCCGCACATCCTAAATTAGGCTTTTCTTATCATCAAATTTGCTGTATACAGACAGACAGCGAGTATAACCCCTTTGGTTCTTCTTGTTTGGTTGTCTTCTTTGCTCTCACATTGCCACCCACTGAACCTAAGCAGGGTTGTACCTGGTTAGTACCTGGATGTGAGACTACCTGGGAAAACTAGGTTGCTGCTGTAAGAGATGCTAGTGAGGCCAGCAGGGGTTGCTGGCCTCACTAGCCACTAGATTGCATGAGGTCTTGACTCTCTGTGGTAACTTAAAAATCCCAGGATGTCCTGCAAAAAGAGTAGGGGTCTGTTCCTGTATCCTGCCCAAACTTGTCTTCTAAAATCTGTCCATCATGGCGTGCTAACCATCCCTGTATTATCTAATTAGCTTCATCAATCTTATCCCAACCATTAAGCAGGTGTGTATGGTGTGCCGTCTGGACCAGAATGGCTGAGGAGGTGCTCGCTGCTAGAGCTTCTTGGGTGGAGCTCACCTGCAATGAGGGGAAGTTTGAGCTCTGGCTCCTCCTATAAGCTTTTTCAATGCACACACCTACCCTGTCGACCCTAACCCTAACCCCCAGTGATATCACTTGTGGAAGAATTGCAGCAAGGATGAGCTGGAGCTCAACTCTGCTCTTGTGGCTCTGCAGTGAGTACCATTTGGAACGGCTGCCATTGTGTCATCTAAGTTGATGCTGCACACAGGTGGTGGTTGAGGAAACCCCCCACCCTCCCAAACAGAACCTGAGCTAGTGATTTTGACAGGGGAGGCTTGTGTAATTAGAAGGATTCTAAAGACCGAAGTATCTACAACAGAGGTCATCAACCCTGTTCCTGGAGATCTAACTTCCTGTTGAGTTTAGCTTCCACCCTGATCAAACACAACTAAACCAATTAATCAGGACCTGAAGTAGCACGTAATAATTGCAGACGGGGTGTTCGATCAGGGTTGCAACTAAAATCTCCAGGAACAGGATTGGTGACTTCTGGTCTATAGGAGCTCTTGAGATCAGAAGACTGAAGTTAACTCACATGCCTCTTACTAGCTGGATTCGGTTACACTCACACCATTGAATCTCACTCCAATTCAGGTCATAGCAATCAATCTAACCCCTCTGGTTCTTCTCAACCCACTTAAACCATGATTTGAACTGGCAATATTGCTTTTGAGGTGGGTAAGCCAAAGGTCACTGCATATGTTGCTAGTGTGTCTTTTGAGGCCAAGGGAGTAGAGTTTACTTACACAGCTCTTACTCATCCACCTTAACCTTACTCTCATTGAGGTCATGGAACCAATAAAACACCTCTAGTTCAATTTCAGTGCACTCCGAATGGGATTCAAATCAAGGATTCCAGCATAAGAGAAGGTGCATTAAGAAGGACAGTAAAAGACAGCAGCTTTTAGTCTAACGCAACTCTAAAGGGGTTTGCACAAAGCTCTCACTGGCTGGACTTTGATAACTCGCCCACCTAAACTCCCATCCAGTTCATTGCCAATGTTACCCCTCCCGTTCTACTGAACTCACTTAAAGCAGGATTTGAACTTGCGCGTCCATCATGGGAGGTAGCTGCACCGAAAAGGCCGCTGCATCTAGCCTCTGTTGCAATTGTATCTCTTGAGGCCATTGGAGTGAAGTTTACTCAGCTCTCACTAGGGCTCTCTTACACATGCAGGCCATAGAACAAATGTAACTCCTCCAGTTCAATTCAATTGGCGAAAGTGAAGAAAAAAAAACGTTGAGAGAACCAGACTCAGATATATATGAAGCATTCAAAAGCAAAAGCCGCTAAACACCACTTCAGTCAAAAATGGGCTAATGACAAATAGATTTGCTTCAAATCATCTAAGTTGCAGCGTCAGCGCATTTAGAAATAACAGTTTGTATGCAAAAGCCACTAAACGCCACTTTGACAGCAAAAGCTGCTATATCCTAAGAACCAATCAGAAGGCGTGAATTGAATCATCTGTTTTCAATGTAGCAGCGCGCTGCTGATGAGCCGGCTTTTATGAGGAGAGCGTTTTATTCTGCTTTCGATTTTAAAAGACGGAGTTTGATGAACTGGATGAGCCTTTCCGGCTGTGAGTGGATGACAAATAAAAATGTCCCTTACCTCAAAACTTCGTGCAAGAAAAAGAAAACACAATGTACAGTCGACAGCAGGGGCGATTTTAGGATTTTCATTTTAGGGGGGCTAGGCACCTTATAAGGTAAAAAAGGTGTATTTATAAGCAGTAATTTAATAGTAATACACTTAAAAATGTTTGTTTAATATGGGTTGTAGTATTCCACTGTATTACAAAGACAGGCATAGCCATTTGAGTTCTGAATAAGCCAAAGAGGCTAGGCTCAACCCACTTGTTTATTGTAGTAAAAACCACTTTCTGTGCTCAAGTGCATTTTTTGTTTCTATGTATTAAATGAATAAGCAGTCACTTTTCTAATTAAATGACACAAACATAAATATGTATTTTTAAACTTACGGCTAATTCACATATTTCACGATCTGAATGATAATAATAAATACTAGACAACACTTGATGTTTCTTTCTCTGTCAGTGACTCAGTGACAGTTATAACAAGTATTCTCTAAGTGCTTCTGTCACTGTGTTTACTTTCTGTGCAAGACTGTAGTTAATGCCACATGAACTGTAAAGTGTTTAATACTGGTAGTTCATTTTGATATAAAAATTGTGAAATTTTTGTTAAGAGTTACATTTTTCGCTGGAAGAAACAGCTGTGGTGATGAGGTGAACGTCGAGAAAACCCGACTGCTCCATGACATTGAGATACAGATGATACAAGGTTATCTATATCAAAGAACTGCAAATAAGCAGACATTTTAACAGTTTATCAATAAACACACACCTCTTCCTCTGGCTGTCCACATATGTGGTTTGCTGATCAAATGAAAAACAAAAGATGGGGAGGAGCCGAATTATGCCGCCATTTACGTTTCACATTTAAAAGGGACTGAGGCAATAATTTAGTGTACAAGTTACACTTTTGCTAATCGCAAAAGGTTAGGGGGGCTGAGTAGAAATATAGGGAAGCTACAGCCCCTTTAATTTTAGGTGGTTTGTGTAATTTTTTTTTTTTTTTTTGTGTGAAAAATAATTTCTAATTGCAACTAAATACACTGTCTTGTCCTGGTAGGTGGATTTAGAGGGTTTTGCGGGGGAAAAAAAGCACAAGTGGATTTAGCTGGTTTTGACGCCAAAGAAAATTTACCTTGTTAAAAACCAAAGAATTGTCTAAAGTGACATTTATGAAAAAAGTGTTTTATTTACTAGATAATAACCTTTTTATTACATATGAAATGAAACTTCTGAGCCTATTTATAGGAGCCTGATAGAAAATGCTCATTTACAAGAAAAGAGGTCTGATGGATTCAGAGATTTCTGAACTATGCATACTAGCTTGTTATAATCACCTAAACTATTTACACTTAGTTTGTTATAACCAAACATCTTCATAAGTTTTTTAATGAGAATGGTTTGAAATTTGTTATCAACAAAAAGCAAGCTTTGAGTTGATAATGTAGGCTATTTTATGACTGGTCATTACATCTGAAGTATACCTTGGGCTTTATGTTAAGAGTATATTTTCAATTTTTATATACATGTTCAGAAAAATCTATGTTGTACGTTCATATGAATTAACCGCCAATTGGCTATGAGATTTTGTATGTGCGAGCTGTACATCAAATTGATTTGTGCCTCTGCACTATTAACAGTGAATAACTGTTGCAATAAGTAAATTAAAATTATTATTTTTTCCATTTACATTGTTTATTAATACATTTTAATTAAAAAAAAACATATTTACTACAGTTTAATGCTTAAGATGCCTTCATTTTTTATTTTTCAAGGTATTTGGTAAAAGTTGGAGTCTCAGTAAATTTAACAAGAGTTTACAAGCAGTAATTGTGACATAATTCTGACATGTATAAAAGTGCCTTTTATTATGCATTTACTTATTTTTTCCTGGTGTCTATTCTCTCAGAAAAGATTTAAAGATCAGTGGCCGATTCATAACCCACCAGCTGAGAATCACAGAACTAAAACTTACAGACAGAAACAAGCTAACACATACAGTAGGCCTACTGTATATACAAGTCCTCTGCTGAAATCTGATGCAAACATAGTCAATTATTTAGATGTTTTTCATGTAGTTTGTAACAGCACTGTAAACACGTCAAACAAGTACAAGCAAGAAGTGTATATATCACATTCATCACATTATAGCACATCACATTATCGCCCTCTGCTGATATTTACCTTTACAAAAAGTCTTATGCACTAATACGTTATAGTAACATCGTTAGTGTTACATTTGGGACGACACAAAACTACACTACACGGATAAGCAAGTTTAGATAAGCGTATAATGTGCCATTGGGAACGCAACTATATGCGCTACATGGAAAGCGTCGCGTCGACCGCATAAACAACTTGTTTGATTGGACCAGCTGTGTCTCGACGTCAGAATCCCGTGTTGCGCTTGTACACGCTTCATTATTTTTAATTGTTTGTTTAGGTGTTGTGTGTACTACTAAGACACATTAAAGTATGTAGTTCTAATATAGCCTTATATAAAAACACACACTACACTCATAAAACACACTAGATAGTGTTCCGTCAAAAGGAGTTTCCCCTGTGAGCGTCGTGGTAACCGTTTGTTTGAGGAAGTGAGGAAGAGAAATGCAAGTGGCGTTTCGCAAAACATGAATCTCCCACAAGGCTTATTATTAACATAAACAGCTCAGGTTTAATTCCGGGTTATACAGTTTCTGTCTGGTTGAGGGCCAATAAAGATCAGTGTCAGAACACCACCAGCGAAAGATCTTTTATATTTAATGAGTGTTTTGAGGACTCGGGTGTTTCTCAGTCAGCCCGGTGTAGAGGTGATGATGGCGGCAGCGCGCGGTGTGTTTGCAGGGCCGATCAAGAGACTTCTCCCCCGGGGTAGTTTTACTCAGACTCGCTCCTGGTGCTCTAATGGGTCAGTTTCTGATAAGAAAGAAGTCCGGCTGAATCGACTTGAGGGTGAAGACAACGGTAGGTTCATGGTGTATAAATTAGACTGTAAGTGAAGTTGCGTGCAGAGGCGCATGAAAACAAAACACACCTGTTAAACGTGACTTCACACAAACCTTTGAAAACGAAACTACGCTCTGTTTTGTATTTCAGGATTTGGAAAACAACGTTAAGGGATTTAAAATGTATTAACATTTGTATGGATACATATTTAATAATAATGTTATTAATGTACATTCAAATAGGAATTATATTTTCACAGGTATTTTTGGGTATTAAGTATCGCCAACAGCACACATGTGGTGTTCTGTTTAAATTATAAACAAATATAGGCTGAATATATATATATATATATATATATATATATATATATATATATATATATATATATATATATATATATATGTGAATCAATTGTGACACAAGGTTTAAAGTCCAAGGATATTTCTAATTTTATTTGCTAATCTACAATACATAATTCTTAATATTATTATTTATTATTACATATTTTGTTTTAAATTTGTTGTGTACTCAAAATAAAAACACTTGGAATGCATACTGCAAGATGCACAGAGGGTTTCTTCGAAAACAATGGAAATTTTACAATTATTGCGGAAAAGTCTTGAAAATGGATACAAACTATAAAGCAAGATAACACAAAATGTGTTTAGAGGGACGATGGCCAAGAAGAGATGATATCTGTTATTATCGAAAGTCTACATCATTCATTATTATGCCAGAAAGATAACCAATGCATCAACACTGGTGTGCTTAATCACTGTCATGTCCAGACAGATAAAATATAGTTTAGTTTACTGAATAACAGTTTGCCCTCCTAGATGTAGTTCTCATTGTCAAAAGAGATCAGATTTGATTCTTCAGATAAATATTGGTAACCCAGCATGTAAGAGTATACCAAAATTCAATTGCTAGATATTTCATCTTCTGAAAGTATATAATTATTAATAAAATTGTTTTAGTTACAGGTAATTCATATACTGCAAACAAGCACAATTTAAGCTAGGCATAGTAGAGCTATTTCTGTTGTTCAGCGAACATATAGATTTCAAATACAGATTTCGCAGATGTTTAAGTTGGGTAGGAAATTGATGCTTGGTTTTTATCACTTCACATTTAACTTCGCTAATGATAGAAAAAGGAACATGTTTTACACACAAAAGTTTGCCTAAATTTAACTAATTTGACACTGTAGTTGGTTAATTACATACAGTTCTTAATCTGTTAATTGATGTAGGGTCCAGCCAGTTGGTCCAATGACGGTATCCAATGGTGGATGAAGGTTCACTGCATGTTCGGTCTTTCCAGTGCACAATGTTGATTTATATTAAACTTAACTCATATCTGATTCCAATTTTAGTATGAGGTGGTTTAGAATATTAATATATTTATCCTCGTTTTATCTGACTCCAATTATAAAACATTGAGAAGGTTATTTTGTTTCCGTTCACAGTAATTTAGGTTATGATTGAATATTCTCTTCGGTTCATCATTTTATGTTATTCTCGTTCATTGGGATTCCTATAACATTCTGAATCTTGTACCTGCCGAGTATACAATTTCTTAAGCACAAGCATGTCAGTCTTGGTCACTAAACAGTGGCGATTGACCGCTATCCTAAAAAGGCAGAACCCTACTTACTCAGATTAGGATATTTTTTATGCGGTCCCCATAGGTCTGCTACCTCCTAAATCAAACAGAGCTATTTAGTCATATAATGATCATTACTATAGAATTAAGCAGACCAGTCGTACTTAAACTATTAGTAACTTTGAATAATCACTATACTATCTAAATAGTATTATAAGTTTATCGGGTGAAGGACTATCCCCTTAGATATCCTTTTACAGCCTAAGTATACATAAATAAATGCCAATTTGTTAGTCGGAGCTCTAGAGACATCGTATAGCGTGCCGCAATTCTCCGTCTACCGTGTCCTAGTCCGCTACTAACCTGAACAGGGGCTTGTGGTGCTATGAAATTACCACAATCTACTAAAGATAATAACACGAACTCTGTTTGATTAATTCAAAACATAACAATTTATTAGTCAGGTAAATGTATTATGCCAAATTCAATCAGTTAATTCATAAACTATCAATACAAAAGATCAAATTATCAAAGACAAATCCAAGATGAAAAAGATGCATTCCTAACTTTGAAATATACATAACATGGAGCAAGCCATGTTATGGGCTGATCTGGTTAGGCAGAATCGCCCTGAGCCTTTCTCAAACCCTACCTTAAATAATCCAAGAATTCCCTCAAGGAAGGGGGTGTGAATAACAAAAGAGCTTTCACACTTGGTGGAAAAGTCACACCCTTCACAGTGGTTCAAAAGATGCCTGAAGTTATATATTTATTGTTTTGATTATGTCTGTTTCTGAGAGAATGAGACCATTGTACCAGTCGCACTGAGACATTTCAAATGATATCAAACATGATAGTTAAAGTCAGTTTGGTTAATCTAGAACATTCAAACATTAAAATGACCATATGCGTGAGATGGGGTGGATGAAGCCGAGTTTCAGCAGACTCAGATGCAAATGCAGCAGGAACTAGTTTTTCCCGCATTCCCACCTGCTGGGTTGTTAAGTCACCAGTCTCTGTTTTCAGCTCATGTTTTGAATTGTCAAAGATATCAAAATATTTGCAATATTTCAACTCTTATATTGATTACAATTTACATGATGTAAAGTTTGCCAGCATTGTAATCTAGATTTCTTACTTAAGGTAATATATTCTGAATACTTTTGTATTACTTTTAGATTACTTTCGACATAATTTACTTATTTTTCCAAACATGTCTAAAGCATGCCAGGGATAATAATTTATTATACATATCCATTCTCTAAAGTCAATACTCAATTCGAAAGTCGACAAAAGAAAATTGATTAGAACAGGGGTGTCCAAACTCGTGTCCTGCATATTTTAATTTAACCGGAATTAAACACAACTGAACTGGCTAATCAAGCTCTTTCTAGGTATATTAGAAGCTTCCAGGTAGTCGTGGCAGGTGTGTTGAAGGAAGTTGGAGCTGAACTATGCAGGACAACAGCCTTCCAGGACAGAGTTTAGACACCCCTTGTTTAGGAAGATCATTTTAAAAGAAAAAAAACATCATAATAATTTTTAAAATCATATGTGTGAAATATTTCTAATCGCAGAATTTAGCTGCGGTCACACCAAAGTTTGAGCTTGCAAAATTCTGTGGTATGGTCCTACGAAAAGGGGTGGGATTAAACAAGATGATTGAACATTTAAAAAAGCGTGCAATTGCTCTATATTTAAAATTTCTGTCCAGAAAGGTCATGTTTTGATCTTCGATCGATCTCACGCAACTATGTGATGCAATTGCACAGGTCAGAGTTCACCAAGCTGGAACTTTGCAGTGCAGCGAACTGCGAAACTTTCCGCACGACCTTACATTTCCGGTCTGATGCATTTGCGTGTGTATGAATGGCAGCCTATGGGGTCAAAAGTGCAGTGTGACCGCAGCTTCAATTAAAGTAATCTAAATGATGATAAGCTATTTTAACTAAATGTATTCTAATTACAAGTAATACAGTTTTGTAATCTGATTATATCTACAATCTAGATATTCAGATAGCGGTGACCACATTTCAGCTAAATCGACATTATATAAGTATAACATTTATAATATTATAATACGAGTAATACAATATGTTTAATAGGATAATACATTACCTTCAAAAATGTAGTTATAGTGAAGCCTGAAATCCAATTACTTATTTACATTTAGCATTGTTTGTTTTATGTTCTTTCATACCTGCCACCCATATTTGGGTCATCATAACCCACTACTTGATAAACCTAACTGAGAGTACAGTAGACACTGACTCAGTTTCTGTTAATATCTCCTCTTGTTTAGGTATCGTGGAAGTGCTGATGTGTCGCGAAAGAGCGCGCAACTCTCTGGGACATGTATTTGTGGGTCAGGTGAGTTGCAGAAAACCCCTGTCCTACAGCATCAGAATCAGATGTGCAGGAAGCTGAAGATCTAGTGCATGAACTCCACTCCTATCCTTTTACCACTTCTTTATAAATTTGTATCTTACATTTACATTTAGTCATTTAGCAGACGCTTTTATCCAAAGCGACTTACAAATGAGGACAAGGAAGCAATTTACACAACTATAAGAGCAACAATGAATAAGTGCTATAGGCAAGTTTTAGGTCTGTAAAGTCTAAGAAGGAAAGCTTTAGTAAATTTTTTTAAAGTTTTTTTTTTTTTTTTAAGTTAGTGGTATATTCAGAGAGGCAATTGCAGATTAGGAAGTGAAGTGGAGACTTAAATATGGAGTCTTAAATATGTAGGGCTGGGAAAAGTTTATCATGTGCTTTCAGATGTAGCAACTTTTATAACACAGATTAAAAAAGCGTTCTTTAGTCTTCTTTAAATTTAATACTGATCACTTAAGTGTGCTTTCCTGACAAGATGTGCTCAATCTTTTTTTATCTATTTTTGATTAATCACCCAGCCTGAAAAATGTTGATAAATATGACTTGATTTGATAAAATTTATGATGATTATTGATTTTAACAATGCACCAAACTTAACATGCCTTTTTTTTTTACAAATAGGTTGATTCTGACGTAGATCACAGGTTCTTTTCATTAATATAATATTTCTATTTTTTCAATGTTTTTAACTAGTGAGTATGAGTATATTAACTCACTTTGGGTTTACTCAATGTGATGTTAATTTTTTTTCAAAACTGTTATTGTGAACACTGTTATGGTTTAAAAGGTAAAGAACAATTAGCAGCAGAAACCAATTAAAATGTTGCATTATTTTACATTGATGTAAATAATGGATTGAGTTTCAATTAAAATATACATTTGTTGTGTATCATTCCAATTTTATGGAAAATGCTAATTAGTCACATTTTTAGCAATAAACTCCAGCCAGAAACTTGTAGCCTGTTCTTACACTTGTGCATAAATACCATGATGACCGCACTACAAAAATGGCAACAACAACAACAACAACAACAACAAAAAACTGCTGTAAAGAAAGCCTCTGTATTTAAGCTTATTAATTATATGAAGTTAGTTATATAACTGTATATTTGCATGATACATTGAAATGACAGTCCAGAATAGCTTTTTCAGCAAACTGCATAATTTATAGAAAGAATAATGCATAACATTTTAAAATAAAATTTTATTAGTTTATGTATTTACTAACATTAACAAACGATGATCAATACATCTATTGCAGTATTTAATCATCTTTGTCCATTTTACTTAATGAAAATATAGTTGTTAATTGTTAGTTCATGTTAACCCACAAGGCATTAACTAATGTCAACAAGCACCAATCAACCTCATTATTTATATAATATAGTTAAGTTTGGAGAAAACCAGGCACCACTCACCATACTTATCATACCATCCATACAGTGAAGCATGGTGGTGGCAGCATCATGCTGTGGGGATGTTTTTCAGCAGCAGGAACTGGAAGACCAGTCAGTATAGAGGGAAAGATGAATGCAGCAATGTTCAGAGACATCCTGAATGAAAAGCTGCTTCAGAGTGCTCTTGACCTTAGACTGGGGCGACGGTTCATCTTTCAGCAGGACAATGACCCAAAGCACACTGCCAATATATCAATGTAGTGGCTTCACAACAACTTTGTGAATGTCCTTGAGTGGCCCAGCCAGAGCCCAGATCTAAATTTTATTGAACATCTCCAGAGAGATCTGAAAATGGCTGTAAGCTGTCGCTTCCCATCCAACCTGATAGAGCCTGAGAGGTACTGCAAGGAGGAATGGGCGAAAATTCCCAAAGGCAGGTGTGCCAAGATTGTGGCATCATGTTCAAAAAGACTTGAGGCTGTAATTGATGCCAAAGGTGCATCAACAAAGTACTGAGCAAAGGCTGTGAATACTTATGTACATGTGATTTTTCAACTTTTTTATTTTTAATAAATTTGCAACAATTTCAAAAAATCTTTTTTCTTTTTGGGGTATTGTGTGCAGACCTAAAAACATAAAAAGTGTGTTGGTGTGTGTGTGTGTGTGTGTGTGTGTGTGTGTACACACATATACATATTTTTATATATAAATATATTGTTTACTGTCATAATGGTAAAGATAAATTAATCCGTTATTAGGAATAAGTTATTAAAACTATTATGTTTAAAAATGTGTTGAAAAAATTGGGGAAGAAAATAAACAGGGGGACTAATAATAACTAATAAATCAGGGGACTAATAATAATTCTGACTTCAAAATAAAATTGTGTCCTTCACATAAATGATTGTATAATTGTACAATTGATTTTGGCCCCCTTTGTAAGTTTTGTTACAATCTGCTCACACCCTGGCAATAAAAGTGATTAATACATGAAAATTCGGTCACACTTTACAATAAGGTTCATAAGTTAATGTTAATTAATGCATTTACTAACATGAACAAACAATGAACAATACATTTACTACTGTATTTGTTCATGTTAGTTAACGTTAGTTAAAGAAAATTCAGTAGTTTATTGTTAGTTCATATAAACTCATGGTGCATTAACTAATGTTAGCAAGCATGGACTTGGATGTTAATAATGCATTAGTAAATGTTTATTTATGATTAGTAAATGCTGTACAAGTGTTGTTCATGATTAGTTCATGTTAGTTAATGCATTAACTAATGAACCTTATTGTAAAGTGTTACCGAAAATTCTTACATTAATAATGTTCCATAACCATCTGTTTTCTGTTTCTACCAAGTAGAATGATATCTTCTTTTTAACTCTCTCTTTTTTCTTTTGTATTTGATCTGTTTTTTAAAAAGATGTCTGGCAAAAAGTGTGTCAGCCCTTTAATAAATAACAGTTCTAGGAGACCAAAATAAATTACGCATATCTTGCTCTCCCAGATTTAGTCTCAGATCATAATCTTGTGTTTTTGTCTTTAATCTATGTGTTCGTGTGTGTGTGTGTGTGTGTGTGTGTGTGTATGCACGCACAGATGAGGGATCTGGTGTCGTCATTACAGCATGATTCTGCCGTTCGAGTGCTGGTCTTCAGGAGTCTCATACCTGGAGTCTTCTGTGCAGGTTTGTGTGAGCCGCATTAAAGCTGAGATATATGTAATTGTTTTTAAAGGCCCTGTGAAGTGTTTCGAAATTCCATTCAATAACAATGCATTTTTAAAATTTGATAATTGATGTAATGTCAGCTGAAACAGAAAGTTGGCAGGATACAAAGTAGCTTGAAAAATAGTTGTTTGCCAAAATTAATTAGCTGAAGTCACAACAGCTAACAGAGGATTCATCTTGGTCTTAAAGCCTTTTCGATGGGTAATTTTCACATTTTACGATGGCATAGCAGTCAAAATAGGGCAAATGAGCTCATATATGGGGCAAATTCTAGACCTTTGTCAGCAAGTCCTGGGTTTTTCAGACTACTCGACCCCCCCCCAGCTGGGGGCCTGCTTTACTTAATGTATTTGTATGTGTTAACAGGTGCTGATCTGAAGGAAAGGGCTCAGATGAGTAATGCAGAGGCTGAGCTGTTTGTTCATGGCCTACGATCACTAATGAATGACATTGGTGAGGATGCACATTCTTCTCAATATTGCTAAATAACTATGCTTCTTCATAGGAAATGATTATATCATAAGGATAAAGATCTGTGAATTGTTTGCAGCTAAAATGCTTACGACAAAAAAAAAGGGGAAAGATTACTCATAAAATATTTTTTTTAGTGTACAATATACCTAGTTCTACCCTCTTTTACAACTATATCAGCATAAATGTTTGAGAAAAAGGAGAACTGGAAAATGTACAGTAATTTGTTTAGAATAGTTTCTTCAGTGAATCTGATGTAAAAACTAACCAATTAATTTAATTACTAACCAATATTAATAACTGAAAACTTTTTAATATGTCCACCACAATTGTACGCAACCCCATTGCAGGTACATTTTTTTTTACTATTACAAAAACTGCAATAATTGCATTAAACAGGAAGTCACATTATTCTATTTGTTGAAAAACTGTTCTTTTGAACCTTCTGTTCATCACAAAACTCTAAAGAAAAATGTATGATTGTTTCCACAATTGTATTAAACCACACAACTCTTTTCAACATTGATAATACTAATTGTCATGATTAATGATTGAACACCAATAATAATTAAGCATAATAGAGCTGCAGATCATCCGATTATGTATCTAAACAATCAAGTGACTCTGAAGACTGGTGTAATGTTGCTGAAAATTTCATCACATCACAGGAATAAATTGCAATTCACCTAAAATGTTTTTTAGTTGAAATTTTAATAATTATTTTACGCTAGGTACAAAAATAGCTATGCTTATAACCTTAAGGACAAACATCCCAATTGAAACGCATTAAGGTGACAGTTTTCCGGCAAAATAAATACATAAAAATTAAATAAATAAACAATACTTATGGGTAAGGGATAATCAACGGCTTGCCTTGCATTAAAAGATTTTAAATACATGACACGATGAGTTAAAGAACCGATCACTAATGTCACTTTGGTCACTAATGCACATTTATTTAGAACTGTGACCAAAACCGACTGGAACTACCTATGCATTGGTCCCACAATAATTTGGATGGCCTTAACTAATATGTACTTACATTAAAATGAATCATTTGTTGCAATGTATTTATTGTGTAAAAACAGCTTTTACATTGAACTTATGATTGATTATATACCTGAATTTCAAACACGGAAGCACGGATACACAGTAGGGAATGTGTCTGAATGGTTACGAATTCGACTGATATAAGGCAAAGTCCGCCATTCTCCAATTCTTGTACAGCTCTCCCAAAAAAAAAATACTTGCTACACACAAACAGCTTGGCCATATCAGCCATGACAGCATCGCATGGAAAGCCATACAACAAACCCCAAGGATTATGGAAAGAAACACATATATGACCCTTCATGAACGGCTAAATACTGCATGCCGGGTGCAGCCATGCACCCACTTCCGAAACCTATAACAATAGTGAATTTTCGCCTCTTCTGCCGGTGCTCGGTCCCTAATATTATCAAAAACTGACACATCATCACTGGACAGGCAGACAAGCGCTACTTCACCGATGTTGATCCTGCCCCCAAAATGATTTGAAGATAAAATTAGCTGACAAAAGCTCAAAACTATCCAGTTTTCCCCACAAATAAAGATAACATGGGCTAACGTTGTCTTAATTGATGCTCAACAAATACAAATCTGTTTAAATCTAAAAAAAAAAAAAGTACTCAAGGGTTTCTTGAACCTTTAAACTTACCCCTACCACTAAACCTGTCCCTAACCCCTACCCTTATACCACCTTAATAGCTCCAGTAGTGTTCTGCATTACATTGTGTACACCATAAGTACCTTATATTTTTTTAAGCAGGTATTTAGTTGTTAAGACCACTAAATATAAAGTGGGGCCAACCTTTTTATTAAATTGATGCAGGAGGATATTGCAAAAAAAAAAAAAAAACGTAGTACCTTTTAGAAATCGCATTGGAAGCGAGTTCATTTTTAGGTGAACTATTCTTTTTAATGGTTATGACAATTTGAAACAGTAATAATAACGATCAGAAAATATATGGTGGTTTTCCTTTTGTAAACTCTTTCAGTGGAGTGTTTCAGAAGAGCTCCAGCTGTTTGAAGCCTCCACTCATTAATGTGATCTATGACTTGTTTGATCTGTGTGTGTGTTCGTTATATGCCAGCTGCGCTGCCCATGCCAACCATAGCAGCAGTGGACGGCTTCGCTCTCGGCGGCGGTTTGGAGTTGGCACTGGCATGTGACCTTCGCACGGCAGGTGAGAGGCTGATGTGACCTTCACCTGGGGCATCGAGCCAGCTGATGATGGGACGGCTGAGGGTGGCTTTGCGTGATTTGTAGCCATTCTGTTTGGCACGTCACAGGGTGGTGAATCTCTGTGGTCACGGTATGTGTTGGCAGGGTCCTTCAGCTGACCTTTTCCCTAAGTGTGTGTGTGTGTGTGTTTTGCAGCACATTGTGCACAGATGGGGCTGATTGAGACGACGCGAGGATTACTCCCAGGGGCAGGTGAGAAAAAGAAATGAATTAATATATAAAGCAACTGAAATAACAGGACAAACACAGCTAGATGGCAGTCACACTACAGAAATGTCAACAGAAACACACAGCTGCAATCAGAAGAGTGATGCATCTCACGTTATGAAAATGAACCATGGTTTTACTATAGCAAACTGTAACATGACTTTAGTAAATCTAATAACATTTCACATTAAATCGTCAGTTTAATAAGGCTAATAATATGCAAAAGACAAAGGAATAGTGTAATCAGGGTGTTAAAATAAACCAAACATTCTCCTTTCAGGTCACCTTTAACAACTTCATTGACCAACCAATAGTCACTGCACAATAATCAAATCCCAGCCGGCTCCTTCACTTTTTCCAGTTCACTCCCTTGAAACATTTCCGTTGTGGTCAGTGTTATGAGGATTTGCAGTGTGTTTTCTATGTGTTTGCATTGTAAGGATTTGCATGTTTGCTGTCAAACCGGTGATGATGTTTTCTTAATTTGCAGGTGTTTTGTCTATTTGCATTTGTTTTCTTAAGCGTATTAAGCTCTCTTGGGCCACTGTAGAAATCTAATGACTAAACCATGATTTGTATGTGTGTTTCTGTCAGGAGGCAGTCAGAGGTTGCCCCGGACTGTGGGTTTTGCCGTGGCGAAGGAGTTGATCTTCACAGGTCGTCGTGTTGGAGGTGAACAGGCTGTGAATCTGGGTTTGGTGAACCGCTCTGTGCCCCAGAACCAGACAGGAGATGCGGCCCACAGAGAGGCTCTGAGTTTGGCCAGAGAGATCCTGCCTCAGGTCAGTCTGGGGAACATATACAGCCACATTTACTGATCTTCTCAATGCTCGATGCTTTCTCAGCCCTAAGAGTGCTTTTACACTGGATTACACTCCTTGTTGTTACTCACTAACTATGGCTACACAAAAAAAATAAATAAATAAATCAGAAAAAATAGGAATACCACAGGAATATTTCTCCTTTGTTATGTTTAAGTTTAACTAAAATAAAAATGTAATCAAATTAACAAAAATACCAGCAGAGCAGGGGAGAAGGAGGGGATTGAACTGTTGTCAGCTCACAAAATGAGACAAAAATTATGAGGAGACGCATGATTTTATAGTTTACAAAGTTAATATGCAAAGAAATAAACAGAAATCTTATGCCGTGCTACATTTGTCATTCGTAATTTCATACACACAACCCCAATTTATATCATTATAAAGATAATCATGTTCATATAAACACTATAAATGAGGACTTTTCCCTCAATCCACGGGTCTGAATGCAGACTCAGTGCAGGAGGTCTCTTGCCCTGCCTATTTCAACCATTAGCCCTGCTGGTAATCTGGAGGATTTAATTGAACACAGCAGCACAGCGATGTGTCTGAATGTGAACAAACTCCACTGATAAAAGACAAAGATGGTATTTTCCAATTCTCATACAGCTCTTCCGACAAAAATGCTTGCTGTATCGGCCCTAACAGGATCGAGAGGAAAAACAAGCAACAAACCCAGTGGATCATGTAAACAAAGCCATAAGATCCTTCATGAACGGCTACGGTGGGTTCGTGGACGCAGTCTCACCCAGTCATCAACATAGGGTCTCAAAGCTTGGCACTGGCAGGTCTGTCTTGCCTTCGGAAAGCACACGCAGTCATGAATAATTAAGAAGCCGGATCTTCTCATAGGATAAGGAAACTCCGATATGAATAATAATGAGAAACCGACGTGTCATCACTTCATATGCAGTTTTGCAGTACATCACCGATTTTGATCCCTCCCTAAAAAATATTTAAAATTCAGAAGATGAATTTAGCTGACAAAAGCTCAAAAACTAACAGGTGTTAACAGTGTATTAAGTAATGCTCAACACACACAAATCTGTTAAAATAAAAAAAATGTACTCGAGGGTTTCTTGAACCGATAATAAGGATCAGGTTCTTGTTCTTCGCTGACTGGAGTGGCACCCAGAGTGGTTTTCTGCTACTGTAGCCCATCCGCTGCAAGGTTGAACGTGTTGTGCATTTAATGATGCTCTTCAGCATACCTCGGTTGTAATGAGTACTTATTTGAGTTACTGTTGCCTTTCTATCAGCTGGAACCAGTATGTAACATATATATATATATATATATATATATATATATATATATATATATATATATATATATATATATATATATATATATATATATATATATATATATATATAGATACCATAAAAATATTGATCATACAAATATTATTTTTTTGTTTAATTTACATTTTAAAGGTATAAACACATGACAGTCATTATTTTCTGCTTTAATAAAATTAAGCAGGACATTTCAATGTACCTACATTATTAATTATTATATTAATATCTATACAGATTTTGTGTGTGTGCCTAATATAGCAGGTTTCCCTCAGAACAAGCGTAGCTCACAGATTTTTTTTTCTTGAATCTGCAACTGTTCCTCCCATGAGTTCATCTGTAACCACAGGCCCCTCTGGATGCGCTTGTGCTTTAATCCCATTAGCATCATGTGATACACTGTACTGTCACAGGGATCCTCTCCAATCATGACTCAAGATGACAGGCAAACCATGAATATGAAGGGCCTCAAGACTGACCAGGCTCAAATGTGCATTACAGTCTTCCCTCAGGTCCTCTTGAGTGTAAAGCTGAGGCGACTTCTTGATTTAAGAGCTCTAAGCATTTACATATAATCATTTAGAGTTGTATTTTGTGGGTTTAACCTATCGGAAAGCACAGGCAATGACTAATATCAACCTCTGCATAGTCGGATGCATTTCATTAAGTGTCCTTCACACAGTAGAAATAGCAGTAAGAGCTACGTGATATGACACAATGCATCACACTCATATGTAGCAGTTTTACTTGTGTTTGTTGCCTCATTACAAACTTATGTTTAACTGTTTGCTGTGAATTTCACAATATACACGTTAAACTAACAAAATATAGATTTAAACCGACCTTATGGCTGTTCAGGGTGGCGCTGAATAAACATATAATTGGTCTTTCCTTAATTTTTGCCCCTTTACCGTAAGTTTACTACAAGTGAATGATGTGCAAAAGAAAGCCCCGCCTCCATCCTCAATAATCCATTTCAATTGAAAGTTCATCAACATACTGAAATTAAAGTCTCAGGAAACTCTGATTCACACAGACTTTAAAGCTTGTGCAATTTTCAAAATAAGAGTCCCACATACATGAGAAATATAATAATCAGTTTTTGTAATAATTGTTGTAATCTCATTAAGAAATATTCTGGCCAATCAAATATGCATATTAAAGATCCTGTGTGCTAGTTGTTGTTTTGTTCTTATCAGAATGCTCTCCCTTGATTTTACACTTAGATGAGATTGAGACAACAATGGTGTTTGATACATGTTATGTCATTTCAGTATATTGAACTCGTATTATTCAGCTATGTCTAGGTATATCAAGATTTCATTCTATAGCACCAGTTATATCTGGACCATGCAAAATATGGTAGAAAATGAATATGCTATATACAGTTGAAGTCAAAATTATTAGCCCTCCTTTGATTTTTTTTTTTCTTTTTTCTTAAATATTTCCTAAATGATGTTTAACAGAGCAAGGAAATTTACACCGTATGTGTGATAATATTTTTCTTCTGGAGAAAGTCTTATTTGTTTTATTTCGGCTAGAATAAAAGCAGTTATTAGTTAAAAAAAAAAAAAACATTTTAAGGTCAAAATTATTAGCCCCTTTAAGCTATATTTTTTTTCCTGATAGTCTAGAGCAGGGGTCACCAATCTCGAGGGCCGGTGTCCCTGCAGGATTTAGCTCCAACTTGCCTCAACACACCTGCCTGGATGTTTCAAATATACCTAGTAAAACCTTGATGAGCTTGTTCAGGTGTGTTTGATTAGGGTTGGAGCTAAAATCTGCAGGACACCGGCCCTCCAGGAACAAGTTTGGTGACCCCTGGTCTACAGAATAGAGATGCGCAGATCAGCTGAAATGACACCTGAATCTGCGGCTTCATACTAATCATCTACGCGCCAGCCTCCCGCACATATAGTTTTATCTGACCCGCATTGTTTTAGGCATGATGATAGGTCACTGTGGATATTAACCGCAGATTCAATGAGCTAATCTGCGCATCTCTGATAGTAAAATAATAGCCTACGTTAATCGTAAATGTTTTTAAATGAATATTTATTTATAAAAACAAAAGTTTGTCTTTAGACAACATTTTCTTAATTTTTAAATAGATACAGAAAGTAAAAATAAGACATTTTAACTTTTACAGATACTCGAACAAGATAACAAGGGTGCTACTATACAGCCTAAACGGCAGCTATGTTGTTTACTAGGCCTTTTTCTTTGCACTGTGATAAAAACAGAATAGCATCTTCTGTGCCTGGATTCGGGCTGCACTGATGAGCATTCGCTTTCACCGCTTGTACGAATTAACAAGATTCTCCTCGCGAAATAAGCGATCTTGTTTCTCCCAGAACTATAGCAGTTTTTTTTCTCTGATGACTCATCTAACTGAAACTTTGAACAGTAGGCTACTCTTGCAATTCATCCATTATTTTGGGCGTCTCGTCTTCCCATTCTGCAAAGCCTACTCTTTGCTTTTTCGCTGATCCACTGCCATATCCCGCTACATCCACCCGCGACCGACCCATAATTAATCATAATGTATTTTTTATTACCCAACCTGACCTGCGAATTATCTGCAGCACCGCGGATATAACCACCATCCGTGCATCACTACTACAGAAAAACAATTGCTATACAATAACTTGCCTAATTAACCCAGTTAAGCCTTTAAATATCACTTTAAGCTGCATAGAAGTATCTTAATATCTAGTCAATTTACTGTCATCATGGCAAAGATAAAAGAACTGTTTTGCAAAAAAATAAAATCAATTATTATTAAGTAGTTATTAGAAATGAGTTATTAAATACTATTATTTTTAGAAATGTGCTGAAAAAATCTTGTCTCTGTTAAACAGAAATTGGGGGGAAAAACTGAGGGGCTATTAATTCTGACTTCAATTGTACATTTTATATAAACGTGCAAGTCTTTTGTTGAGGATCCACCATTTTGGGTTCCAGCATATTGGTCTAAAGCAAATTAAAAGCCGCATATATGGCATCAAGTGCGTGACATTAATATTTACTATGTTTGTGTAAACCTGAAAATAAATGTCACGTTACTGTCATTACATGCCTTGGCACATGTGTAGCTGGAACCTTTTGTACTGTACTGTACTAAACTCTGACCCAAATAACATCCTGCTTTTCCGGTTTGCCAGTGATTGACGAGTCATTCAATTAGATTAGGAGGAAGTTGGCCTATTTAGGTCAGTGTGAGAACAGCATTCAAACACGTTATGCTGAAATAACTTCTGTCAGCACTTCTGTCTGCCGCAGCCAACCATGTCATTAATATGTCATATGGCACGCCTGTAAAGTTGCAATCATATATCATAAACCAAGGCCTATATATGTGTTTTTATGAATCGTTAATAGGCTGGTAACATGTCGGCAGAATGTTTATCATCTGTTTTAACAATAATATTAATAACACGATTTAGCAGATTTTTCCAGTTAGCATATTATAACAATTTAGCAATTTAGTCAACATGTTTTAAGCAAAGCTAACATGTTTCTAGCATGTTTTAACAAGTAGGTTGATAACAGGCTTTAGCAGATTCCTGTTATGTTTTGACATGTTGCTAGCATGTTTCTAATTTGTTTCATGCTAGTATGTTCAAAACATGCTTTAGCAGGTTGCTGTCATGTTTTTACATGTTAGCATGTTTTCAAATTTTAACAACTTGTCAACACATTGCTAGCATGTTTTAACGCATTGTTAGCATGCTTTTAACATGTTTTAGCATGTTTCCAAGTTACTTTAACAGGATAGTAGGTAAGATTATAACATGTTTTTAACAGATACTTGTCATGTTTTTACATATTAACATGTTTGCTGACAAGTTTTTTTATGTTAGCAATTTGTCAAGGTGTTTTAACATATTGATAGCATGTTTCAATGCAATGCTAACATGCTTTAACATGTATGGCATTGCTTTAACATCATAGTAGGTAAAATTATAACAGGCTTTAGCAGATTCATGTTATGTTTTTACATGTTAGCATTTTATCAACGTGTTTTGACATGTTGCTAGCATGTTACTAATTTAAGTTAGTTTGTTTAAAACATGCTTTAGCAGGTTGCTGTCATGTTTTTACATGTTAGAATGCGATAGCATTTTCTCAACATGTTTAAACATGTTGCTAGCATGTTTTATCAAATTTTTACAACTTGTCAAAATGTTGCTAGTATATTAAATTATTTTACAACTTATTAACTTGCTGCTAGCATGTTTCAATGTATTGCTAGCATGGTTTTAACAAGTTGATAATTTAACACGTCAGTGGGTTTATAACATGATGTAACAGGTTAATGACAAGTTTTATTTGCAAATTATAACGTTTTAACAATGTCATTATATTTAAACATGTTGCTGGCATGTTTCATTGCATTGTCAGCATGCTTTTAACATGTTGCTAGCATGTTTCAACCATGTAATTTGTTTTAAGGTTGTAGGTTTATAGCATATTTTAGCAGGTTGTTGGCATGCTTCAACATGTTAGCATTTTATAACATTGTAACAACTTGTTAGCATTGTTTTAAATTTGTTTTAACATCAATAGGTTTATAATGTGCTGCAGAAGGTTGCTGACAAGTATTTATGTTAGCAAGTTATCACCACATTTTAACATGTTGCTAGATTCTAATTAGTTTCAAGTTAGTAGTTTATAGCATGCTTTAGCAGGTAGCTGGAAAGTGTTTTAACTATTTGTCAGCATGTTTTAACATGTTACTAGTACGTTACAATTCATTACCTTGCTGCAACTCATTGCTAGCATGCGTTTAACATGTTGCTAACATGATCGTAATTTGTTTCAAGTGTTATAATGTTTCAGTTTAGTTTTATGTTTGTGCAAAATCAAACATCGTTTAAGAATAAACATTGCAAATATTACTCGTACTGTTGTTCATAATTGGCGTCCGAGGTTTCAACAAAGAATTACAACATAAAAGCTTTTCAGAATCCTTATACTTTCACTAGCCCATTAAGCAACTGTCCTAGCTAGCACATTTTGAACATTCATTTTTATTTGTCTCTCCAGGCCCCGATTGCCGTGCGAATGGCAAAAGTAGCAATGAATCGAGGCGCTGAAGTAGACATCTCTTCAGGAATGGCTATCGAAGGAATGTGTTACGCCAGGGTGAGTGTGTCATAAACCAGATGAATCACTTCTGTACCTTTGACTTGCTTGGTTTGACTGTGAATGTGTCTTGTGGTTTCTCAGCTCATTCCTACACGGGACAGACAAGAGGGCATGGCCGCATTTATAGAGAAGAGGCCTCCGAGGTACACCGGAGAGTGAACGTCTGAATGACTCAAACCTGCGTAACACGTTTTAAATCTAGAGTACAAATGCCTTGAACATGCTGTTCTGAGAAGTGGCAGGTTTCAATTTCCACTGAAATATGAGCTTTATAAAGGTCCAAAAATAACTCTAGAATAAAGTTGTTACAAGTTATTATTTTTTTCTGGCTATATTTGTATAAGATTCATAAAACACTTCATATAAATATATACACATGAAATTAAAAACATTTGTAATTTTGTAGCTGAAAAAATCCATTAAATTTGACTGATTGTATTATTAGTTTAAAAGTAGTTTGTTTTATGCGTTCATTTGGTTATCAAGAGCAATATGTGCAGAACACATTTACATATTCCTCTAAATGTCTGTTATCAGTATATTTTAAACTTTATTACTCAATCTTCACTGCGAATACATCAAGCGTTAATTCTAAATATATTTTTTAATGTTGCACAACTGCAGTTCACTTAATTGCCACCGGTTTCACTAATAACAATGGTTTCTTTGAAATACACAGAGGTTTTAATAGTTGTTTCCTCCATCTAAAGATGTGAATTAAATTTATGCACAAAACTGGAATATTGCATTTAAAAATATTTGTGAATGAAGCACTGTTTCCCCGCGATTATTTACAGAGAACAAAATCGTCACTTCCTGATAAACTGATGGCATACTGTAAGTATCAAATGGAAAAATGGGCTTTGCTGTGCTAGAAGGAGCCACTGTGGGCCTTTTTTCATACAGTAAATTATTTGGCCTCAGAAGACGAAGCCAGAATGAAATCTGGTAAAATCACGTTTTTGATGCGCATTCTGGAATTTATTCGGTTTATTGGATTAAGTTTATCATACACACGTTTTCATGCACATTTTCAACATTTTATGTGTTCCATTAAGATTTTTATTATGGAGTATTTCAAAAATGCGTATAAAAATAAGTGGATAAAAACCAGCTCCTAACACAAACTGCAAAATTAAGCTGCAGGTGTTCTTTAATCGCCAAATATAATTTGGCATAAACTGGAATCTGTGCATTGTGCAGTGGACTCTGGTTTTCCTGCTCAACCCACTCTGTGGTATCCTTACAGAGGGACAAGTACATGGTGAGAGTCCTTACGCTTCGCCTGTAGCATCTATCTGGAGTTCATTTAGTCCATTTACACACAGCAGATTAAATTTAAATCCAACATTTATAAAACAATCCAAAAACAGACATATCAGCTGTATTATTGGCCGAAGTTGTTAAACATGGTATAAATTATAACTGACTTGCACTGTCTGAGCAGAAACTCTGTTTAGATTTGCGAGGAAATACTTTAATAGCCAACGATTGGATTGTTGCCGTCATTGTTTCTGGCTTGGCAACAGTTCTTTTAACCCAGATTGATGCAAGGAACATTTTTACTTCTTTAAAAAGTTGTATTAATGGCCAAAGTTGTCAAGCAGTCAATTAGAAACTGTTATATTCCTTGCAGAGTTTCTGGTCAGACAGTGCAAGTCAGTTATAATTTATACTATTTTTTTGGGGACCGTTTGACAACTTCGGCCATTAATACAACATTTTACAGAAATAAAAATTGTTCACTGCATCAATTTGGGTTAAAAGAATTGCTGCCTAACCAGACACAATGTCAGCAACAATCCAATCGTAGACAAGTATTTCCTTGTCTAGCTAAACAGTTTACGATTGCTGTCATTGTTTCTGGTTTGGCAACAGTTCTTTTAACCCAAATTGATGCAGTGAACATTTTTATTTTCTTTAAAAAGTTGCAAGACACATCATGGTCATATTTCAGGAGGACAACACCAAGATTCAATGTGAAATGTTTCATTTTAACACCCGAATTAACCACCGTTTATTATGAACCCTATTATAAGTCTTGAGATTTGCTGCAGCTTTCGAAGCATTGATTCATGAAGCTTCGACACCTCAAATCAATAGTTTTGAGCGCGTATAAAATAGGCAGGATGATGTCATTACTTAAAAAAAAAATAAACATTTCAAATTCAATAGATCTCTATTGGGACGATGGGAGTAATATTACGAAATCCACATGAACTGTGCAGGTTTGTTCAGATCACCTCAGTGGTGAATCACTTCACATGTTTTTCATCAGTTTTACTATTTTGTAGACATTTCTAAAATGAAAAAGAAACAATAGTCTGTTGTTAGCCTGTTTAGCACACCTCACCTTGTGGAAATAAAACAATATATAAACATTGAAAATTTATAAACTAACGCATATTATGCTGACGTTTAATAATTACCGATATTAGATGACAAGCTAAGTGAATTTATATGTTATATTTTCAATTTAAATGTTGAGGTATGTTTGAAAAAGCCAATTTCCAATTCAAGTTTTTGCCTTTTTTTTGTATTTACACAGATTTGACCTGTAGGTGGCAGCATATTGCGCGTTGAATGCAATGCAAAACAACTGGTTTAACATTTTCGAAGCTTTAAAAAGCTAGAGTAGACTTTCACCACAGTATCAGACAGTGGAGGTGCTCACCAAATTGTTGCCAAGCATACAGCAGACCAGAAACATATTAACCACTGCGATAAAGATCCAACCACAAACAGCAAGTTGTTTGTGTTTTATGCTGTTTGTGAGAACAGCTGTGATCATTTCCTGGAACTATGCACATTTGTTAGAGCATCTTATTATAATACTATGACCCTGTTAACTTAAGCCTAGTTCACACTACAGGATTTAAACCTGATTTGAGCCCGATTTGGAAGTTACTCCCCATTCACACGGGGCGTAAGCTTCAACGCTTCCCATTCACTTTAAATAGGTGACGTCAGGTGTTGCCGAACTGCATTGTGGATCCATCGGCGCCACTTTAGAGACGTTGCTCGCTGCAGAAGTTGGGACTTGCTCACTTTTTCAAGCGCCGACCGAAGTGCCAGCCAATCAGATCACTCTATGCAAATGCACCAGTTCAGACTGTGGCCTACTGCCGACTAATTACATTGGCCGACGGTGCTATGATGATCGCGTCAGCCCCAACTTCAGACACGCCCTCTGTCAAGCGTTAATGCTGAAGCTGTGTGTGAATGGGGCGTAAGTCCAAAAGGCTCAGTACTTTTTGCGGTTGAGTCTGTTTTAGTTCAGATCATGTTCTCACCACAAACAAACCACTTCAGGGTTCGTTTAAAACCGTACCGAGACCACCTCGCTTTTTTGGTCCGCTTTTGGTGAGCACTCGAGTACGATTGCAGCATTCACACCTGCCCAAACGAACCGCACCAAGAGGGAAAGCGAACTCTAGTGCAATTCAACCAAACTAAATGCAGGTGTGAAGGCACTCTATAAGACATTAAATCAAGTCATGTAGTGTGAATGGCACAGCAATCCGCCGATGTTTAAAATCCTGTAGTGTGAACTAGGCTTCACAAAACAGAAATCCATCCAACAAAATAAGGCACACGCTTTCAGGGAGCAGAAACATTTGAACAAAAACAATTTGTTTAGGTCACCAGAACAAACTTGAATCTCTTTTTTAATTGCAATTTCAAACAAGACAAGTAGAACCTGCTGCTTAACAACACAATTGGTGTGAAATGAAATCTTAAACTTAAGTTCATTGCAAGGACGTTTGGCAAGAAGGCAAATCCAATGACTTTTGGCAAATCATCCTCACTCCAGAGTTGCCATAAAGTTCTTAATCTCCCCATTTATCTGTCCTTTTATTACCATCACAATCCATTGCTTGATTTCTCCATGAGGCAACAGTCCTTTAAATGAGAAGTTCCTGCTTTGTTTGAAGGCAAACGTTTGATTGGTTGTTGAGAATTCTTGTCCACTGTAACAATTTTGAGACTGGATTGTAATACTTTGCGTGCAACACGACACACACACCATCATAAACAAAGTCATCTGCTATACTCGATATATACAACCTACAAAAATAGATTTAATCCTTAAAGCTCTCATGCTTTTCAATGCAATAGCAAGCGTTTATCTTTTTTCCCTCAATCACACACACACAACATCACAAACCAACTTATGATGAACCATAGTCATATATCTGTACTCTATATTATTGCATATTATACCCAACAGGACAGAAATCTGTAATATGAATGACATCTCATCCAAATCTGATTATGTATGTGAAGCATTCTGATGAGCATGCGCTTAAAACACACAATGAAATGCACTTGCATACACACACCCAACATAAACACACACACACACACACACACTCTCTGAGCTGCTGCCTGTCTAAATACACATTTCCGCTCACGGAGACGACTGGCGTCAAATAAATAAGAGATTCTGTGGTGTGCAAACATATGCAGAGTAACTCATCCACAGCGAGTGTCTTTGTTATATGGATGGGCACGGGTGAACACATACATATACAAAAAGCATCCTTTATCTTTTCTTTTTTTTTCAGGCGTCTTATGTAGAGGCCACTGATCAGAAAGAACGTTGTCATGGATTGCATTTTTCTGAAAAACAGAATAGAAATAGATGTAAGATTAAAAAAATAAACATTTCAAGTGCCCCTATTATGCAGCATCTTATATATATGCAGTATGCTTTCTTGTATTGTAGCAGTTTCAGAACTGAAAAGCAGATGGGTGCTTTCACACCTACACTTTTGTTTGGGAACCTGTCTCGTTTGCCCAGTTAGCGCGGTTCGTTTGGCATATGTGAAACCACCAATTGCTTTCGGATCTGCGCCAAATGAATCGCTGCGAGATCGCTTGAAGGAGGTGGTCTCGGCTTGATTGAAACGAACTCTGGAGCGGATCGATTGCAGTGAGAAAGCGATCCAATCCGACCGCGGTTATATCACTGTGTTTTATGGATATGTAATAGGCATACGGCTATATGAAGAGAGAATTATGAGTAGGGCGGGAAGTTTCGCGAGTCTCCGGATGCCCGCAAACGAATGATAATCTCCCGGTAATCTTGCGTCTCCCTTCCGGTCCTCAAATAGGCTACTTCGCGCACCCTTCACACCTCTCCCCACCGCATCTCTCCTCACTCTTCAGACACGTCGCGCGCACCTTGTCAAACACCACCAAACCACCACCTCTCCTGACAGCTGAGCGGGACTCTGCAAAACAAACCCTGAAACTGACCAATGGGAGGAGAGTTTACTGACAAGTGACTTGTTTTGGCTCTTTTGGTCCAATTCGAAACTTTTCAGTGTGAAAGCGAACCACTCCAAGAGCAAAAAGCAACAATGTAACATTTGTAATCTCTGTTGTTTCGGAACAACTGAATCGATTCGCAGGTGTGAAAAGCACCTTCAAAATAAAAAAAAATAAAAATTGATTCTGAATCGCCATTAATTCTAGCTTTATGCCCAGGGCCAGACAGAATCTGCAGACATTTTTTTGCTATTTCTGTTGAGAATTTTGTAAATAATCTGCAGATTATCATATGCAGAGTATCATAACTAAAAACTTAATATATAAATAATATGAAAAAATACTAAACTTTTAACTTTTATTTAATGTTTACAACGCAAATTCAATTAGATCCACATATTTGGTAAACAGAGCAAGTCTCTCGTATAATAGATCTTGTATTAAAACTGTATTGTAAATAACTCATGAACATTTTAATATTATTATAAATCACAATAATATTAGTACAAATTTAAAAAACTGAATAAATATAAATTCACACACATTTACACAAGTAGGGTTGCACAGATACAATTTTTTTGGAACTTAATTATTTATAGGCTAATTGATGTCTGTGCAAAAACGGTTCCCTATCCAAGAGCGAAAGTGAAAGTAGATCATTTATCTCTCATTCTTGCGCAATAGATGCTCTGTTTAACTGAGCTTTCTGTTAATAAAAACTGTTTGCTTGTGATATGCTCAGTTTTTCCACTTCCACTTACTTTACGTCATGTAAATAGCAAATGCGCGTATGGCGCGACGCAGCTGACTCTTAAAGGGAATAGGAGATGAGACTCTGATTGGTTTATTCTCAAAACACACCTATAACTCATTAAGAAAATAAACTCAACCCTTTTAGAACATGCGCCACGGCACAAAGCGGATTTTCCCATCCTTAAATTAGCAAATATGGATTCTGACACGCCCTGAAAGCGTTTGCGCCCTGCGCTTTCCGTTTTCCGCATGGACCGTCAAAATAGAGCCCATAATCTTTAATAAATCAATTGACAATTACTCTGGTGTAGTTTCTATGGAAGATCTTTAAACCAACTATTTCAGACAATGACAACTCGCCAAACTAAATCATTTAACCTTTAAATGATCAAACCTTTTGACAATAAACCTTTAAACCTGCATAACGAGGCACTTTATTAGCAAAACCTGTAGTTTAAAAACGGAAATGTTACAAACACATTTGAAATACCTCTGTGTGCTTGTGTTTTGGGTATCGCCGTGTATCCCGTGCGTGCTCGGTGTCGTTGTAAACCGTCCAGGATGCTCTCGGTGAGTCTGCGCACGTCGCTGTGCGTTTTGGGATGTGAAGTGATGGCCTCGAGGTGCTGCAATCCTCCTTCCTCTAGTAACATGCTGCAGTAGCGGCCAGCTGCGTTCAACAAACACAATTAAACATCACAACACTAAAGCCTCAGGCCGCTCAGAGGTATATGGTGCTGATGGTGCTCACCATTTTTGCTGCAGACGTGCTGCATGGCCCACGCGGCCCAAAGCTGAACTCCTGGAGTCTGGAAACACTCCAGTAAAGGGAAGAAGGGGTTGAACGACCTGAGGACAGATGCACAATTCACTTTCAGAATGAAGCTTTATAAAGGTTTTGCACAAGCATTAAACTGAAGCCGGAACTTCAGAGATATTGCAGTTAAACCTAGTTAACGTTTTTTTATTTTGTAAATTGTATTAAAACTGAAATTAGAAATGTGAACCTGGACGGGTATATTTTTGGGAAAAGCATTGATCAAACTGATTGACTTTGATTTGATTTTATAAAAATGTTACATAAGGATCGTGTTCCTTAAAGATATTTTGTAAATGTCCTACTGTAAATATATCAAAACCTAATTTTTGAATTCTAATATAAAATTACTAATTTTCTCAGTTTTTAGATTTTTTTGAACCCTCAGATTGCAGATTTTCAAATAGTTGTATCTCAGCCATATAAACTCTGATCATAATAAACCATGTAAAAGTGGAATGCTCATTTATTCAGCTGTCGATTGATCTGTCGAAAACTCAATGTATTCAATCAAATATATCTCCACGCATTTTTAGAGTTTGCTTCTAAGACCAAAGATACTTTAAGTCAAAGTCAGCTTTATTGTCAATTCAACCACATGTACAGGACATAGAGAGAATCAAAATAATGTTACTCTCAGACCCTAGGTGCCTAACATATAATATTAACACAAAAAGTAGAGTTTTAGTAAAAAATTCACAATAAATACAATTTTACATAAAACGTCATCTAAAAACATACATTAAAATGTCGATTTAAAAAATTTAAGTAAAGAGTAAAAATTAGTAACAATACAATTACATTAAGGGCATATGGCAATGAGTGCAAACCAGAGTTGTAAAGATATAGAACAGTATATAGTGCAAAAAGGCTATATACAGACAAGATGATGAAATGACCAGAAGCAAATTAATAATTAAGACAACCAAAAACAAACAAAAAAAAAAGACATTTCCCCTGTTGTATGATTTCATAAACCGAGTGCAAACCGTCTTTGCTGCTAGTCATTCAAATCTCATATATCTCATATAAATCATATATAAATATTAGCTGAGAGAGAGAAATGCTGCCTTGGTAAATAACTAAAATAAGTTGAAGTACTACAATGACTATATAAAATATAGTGATTTTAGTGCAGATGGGGGAGAAAATCTTGCATCAAAATAATAAACAGGCAAAAATGACTCGAGATTCTTTTTGTCAAGAGGCAATTTTCATTCACTCAATCTAAAAACGGAAAACAAAAACAGAGAATTTGTGTGTTTATTTACCTTCTGGTTTGTTTTAATTATATTTTAATAATTGAAAGTGTATTTTTTTACTATTAAAGACCCAGTCACGCTACACTTTTTGAATCTCTTGGTGTATATATTACATTAAATTTAAAGGTGAGCTTCTTTGGCGAAGATGTGTACAGTGTTAGATGTCACATTTAGCGGACATTTGCGCTGTACACACAGAGAGTGCAACGCATCGAGAACACTCCGTAAACACTCGAGTGATCTAGGCTGACGTATCAACATTCACTACACGTCAAGATCCAACGCAATCTCATGGTAATTCGTAACTTTTTGCATGATTGATGTCATCGGCGCAGTTACAATGTAACTTTAGGTGGGGTTTGCAGACCTGTGTGCTTTTCACTCTTCAGCTGTTGACATTTCCCGCACTAACAAAAGCTCCCTGTCATCTGACATCGGAAAGACTTGAGTGATTGACAGCTAATATGAAGCAATAAAGCGGCAGGGCTATAGCGATTCAGGACGTTTTTAGAAAAAATCTTAACAGGTCGCACTACAGCCACAATATGCAGTCGCACAAATGCTCCCAAATATATTATGAGGTCGCATAGATTAAATTTTGCTTGCAAATGCAACCAAAGTGGATGCAATTTTGAGCCCAGATATTATAAACTATTATTGTTATTTTATTGTAATTATAATTTACCCAAACTTGTATAATTAATCTAGTTAAGCCTTTAAATGTCACTTTAAGCTGAATACTAGTGAAAAATATCTAGTATTATTATAAGTATTATTTAATGTCATCATGACAAAGATGAAGCAAAATCAGTTATTACAAAATAGTTATTAAAAATATTATGTTTAGAAATGTGTTGGGAAAAAAAACTGAAATTGGGGAAAAAAGTATACAGGAGGGCTAAAAAAAAAAAAAAGTAGATTTTTCATGATGTTTTTTTTCTCACCTGTACGCCACCATTTCACACTCCGGCGTGGGCCACTTCAGAATGGCTGAATGCTGAAAAAAAAAGGCACATAATGATCAATGTATATTCAGAGTACAAGTCAATCAGCAGAATCTCTCACACACTCACCAGTTGCTGGAGCAGTGTGTTCCTGAGGGTCAGCTCCAGGGTCCAGACCTTCTCTCCTCGTGATGTGAGGTGGGCCAGGATCCCTGCTGCGAAATAACTGACCTCCACCTCTGGACTGTGGAGCAGAGTGCGGATGTGATCCAGAAAACTCTGAACCATCAGCTCGCCGTGCAGCTCGCTCACCTCCGCAATGTTGTTCTGAACACCAACACACAGACATACACATTCAGAGAGATAAGAGCACGGACACACAAATACAATGGTCTCATTATACTTTCTAACTATGGGAAATGATTAGCATAATGCTGGGAGATGAGAGGACTGTGTTTTTATCAGTGCTGCCCACAGCTCCATGCACTGCAAATTTATGAAAATGCTGAGGCCATCGTATTTATGAACACCGCGCTACTGTACATGTGGGTTTGGGGTTAATTTACTTTAGCTTTTTTATGAGGATTGATATTATGCTCACCGGGGCTGATTACTTAGAGAGAGAGAGAGAGAGAAATAAAGAAAGAGTGAAACTAAAACAGAAACTAAAAATGTGAGAAACTAAATTGTTAAATTAACAAAACTGATTAGTGAGTTGTTTTATTTTTAGTAACAGAATAAAAAAATATATAATTAAGAATAAATCAATAAAAATTACAAAATAAAAAAATCAAAGAATATTTGTATCCATTTCTCAGATTTATTAAACATTTGTTTAATAAAATAATATTTTAGTCACCAAATATCTTTAGAAATAGAAAAAAATACATTTATTAATTCATTCATTTTCTTGTCGGCTTAGTCCCTTTATTAATCAGGGGTCACCACAGCGGAATGAACCGCCAACTTATCCAGGATATGTTTTACACAGTGGATGCCCTCCCAGGTGCGACCCATCACTGGGAAACACCCATACGCTACCCACAATTTGGCTCACCCAATTCACCTGTACCACATATCTTTATCTTTTTACTTGTGGGGGAAACCCACGCAAACAACACAGAAATGCCAGCTGATCCAGCCAAGGCTCGAACCAGTGACCTTCTTGCTATGAGGCGAACGTGACACCCAAAGATTATACATTCCAAAAAAATTACTTACAAACTACAAAATTTCCACAAATTTGATATATTTTTTGTTTTTGTTCATCATATACAAACACACACACACACACGAAGCATGTACAAATGTTGATAATTTGTATATTTTTACCGCATTAAATAAATATTTCTCATTTTTATTTAACAAAAACTACTATGAATAAAAAAATAGAATGTATACAAATTTTATAAACTTCTAAAAAAAATACATGTGGAAAAAAGCATGGAATTAGTCCACCTTAAAAAAAAAAAAAACAACAACAAAAAAAACATAATAATTATTAAATAAAAAAAAAAAATTAACAAAATGAAATTTCAAACTACTTATTTTAATTAAAATTTTTCATTTTTAGTAGAATGAACTTTATGTGTTTAACCGAAGATTAGTGCCTCACAAATGAATTTCAAACCGAAACGAAATTCTGCTTTCCACTATAGTGGTTTAATTTATATGATCAACAATTCAGTACAAACATTATAATTTTAAAATCACCATTTTCTATCTTAATACATTCATTCCTTCATTTAAGTTAGTCCCTTTATTAATCTGGGGTCGCCACAGCAGAATAAACTGCCAGCTTATCCTGAATATATGTTTTACACAGCAAATGCCCTTCCAGCTGCAACGCATTATCTTTCAGACTCTGCTAATGAGCTGATTATCTGAATCAGGAGTGTTTAGTTAATGAGACATGTGAAATGTGCAGAGCTGGTGCTCCTCCAGAAACGTGGGTGAGAAACACTGCACTACAGCAAATTTATTGTTTTAATCCACCCGTAACACATGTCTTTGAACTGTGGGGGAAACCGAAGCACCCGGAGGAAACCCACACGAACATGGGGAGAACATGCAAACTCCACAAAGAAATGCCAACTGACCTAGCCAGGACTTAAACCATCGAACTTCTTGCTGGGAGGCGACAGTGTTAACCACTGAGCCAGTTTGCTGCCTATCTTAATACATTTTAAATGTTTATTTGTGTGAAGCAAAGTAGATTTTTTAGCACATTACAGCAAACTTTAGGGTTACACAAACCTCTGGAAATCATTTAAACATGATGATTTGATTTTAAATAAAAAGGTAAACATGAATCCATAATACATTTTTTTTATGATTAGTTCGTGAAAGTTAATAAAGTAATCTTTTATTTAAGGTCACTTTAGGCTATTTTGATGTATTTTTATGCTAGACACAACTACACAAGATACATTTCTTACCAGTAACCCCAGCACCTTCTGCTGAATGGATGACTCTGATGGAAAAGACTATAAAAAACAGAGAGATTCAGGAATGAGGGCTTCGTTCAGGACAGCTTTATCAGATTACAATCACATTTAATCAATGTTCACCTCCAGCACTTTGATGAAGAGCTCCAGCCCCTGGTTCTCGATGAAGTGTCTGCATGTGGTCGGAGACTCGTCTGTGAGGTTCCACAGGGCACTGAGGGTAAACTTCAGCGTGGCGTCC